ATCTAAATTTTGAGTGGTACAATGAAAAATGAACCCACAAACAACCTACAGATTCACATTGTGTTTCTCCAAAGGATTTAATAAGGAACATTTTAAGCATAACAGCACAATTGTTAAGAACAAGTAGACAAGGTTGCCATTACAGAGGGATGCTACTAGAACCCAGGGCAGTGTCTTAGGGATGTCTCAGGCGCCACAGCCCAGGGATTCCTCAGCACGCTCTTCTCCTTTTTGTCGGGACCTCTTTGGACATCCTTCTTGGATCCCTGCTCTCTGCCTCCCTGGAAGGCATGTTTGCCTTCAAGGCTTCAGCCAGTCTCTCCCTTGCTTTCTTCATGTTTCTAGCTTGTCTTCTTATATCTGCATAACTGATCTGTTGTCTGTGGATGGGAAAGGCAAGAGGCAGGCCCACCCCTGGGATGATCTCTGCAATATTTGAAGACTGGCCAGGGGAGGGTTGGGGTTGGGTACATGGACCCCCATATCCAGCATGACCCGGGGGCTCCCATGCCCCACCTGGGACAATTGTTTTGGATATATCTGTGAAGGCCAAAGTCGTTAGCAGCTCTCCTGTACCGCTGGAGGCCTGGAGACCCTGAAGCCTCCTAAAGGCAGACAACTGCTGGGGTTTCTCCAGCTCCCCTTCCCACTGTCTGCACCTGACCTCATTGTCTGGGTGGGACCTAACTCGAGTGACGCGGCTCTGGAATATACAGCTCGTTAGCCTTACAGGGAGGTCACATTTTGCCTTGGCCTTGGATACGTAGTTCTGTGGTTTCTTCTGTAGATTCTGAGACATTGTATTTCTTTTGAGCACCCCCTATAAATATCAAATAAATTGTGATCTTTATACATGATTAAGAATTGTCTTTCTGGTTCCCGTTAGCTCTCCCAGATTTACTTCCTCCCAGAAGAATTGTGCCTTAAATTCTACTAACCTTTCTTCAGTTATCATGAAGTTATATAGCGGCACATTTATGAGAATTTTTGTTTTCTTTGCATTGAGGTGCAATCCATACTGAAATATCAGCAGGGTTGGCCTTGGTACACAGAATCCACTCTAAGACAGATTAGTAAACAGTGACTGCCCTCTTCTGAATGGGCAGCCCTGGAGAATCTAAAGTACTATTAAAAATAAAATTTTAAAAAGGGAGATCATCCTGTTTTGAAAAATAACAACAACAACAACAACAACAACAACAAAACTGTCTGATACCTTACACAGCTTTCTCCCAAGAAAAACACATACAGATAAAAGTCTGTTGCCAATACACATTCCCAAGCTCTGGTAGTGTAGTGGTTATGAATCGGGCTGCAAACCACAAGGTTAGCAGTTCGAAACTACCAGCTGTTCCGCTGGATAAAGATGAGGCTTTTTGCTCCCATAAAGATTTACAGTCTCGGAAACCCTGTACACATAACAACAACAACAACAACTCACCAGAGTAGGATGACTTGGAGACGTGGCTGATGGACGACCTTCATGGATGGTTTCAGAGGTACCCTGCTGAAGACATTCCTGACTGAGGAATTCTGGATCCATAGGTGAGAGAGTAGAGTTCTTACTCACAGATGCCATAGGCGAATGGATGTTAATGCTGATAGGCTGCAGGGGAGGTCACTGAATCAACTCCCAGAACCAGCGTTCAGGTGATGAGAGGCGGAAGGAAGATCCAGAAGACGCACGAAGCTATGAAACGTTGCTAGACGGTAACTTTTATATTGGCCGCAGGCCACACCCACCAGGAGACTGCCTTCAGCTGATTGGCCATCAGCGCTGATCTCATCCTGGAGGGGATTACCTTCTGTCAGATCCCATCATGGGTGTGTTTGTGTTAAATCTCATCAAGGGCATAACTACATTATAAGTCACTTCTCAAAAACTGCAGGATCTGTAAAGTGCAATAAATCAAAGCAAAATAGAAGGAGATGTGGGTATAGTTCATAATCACATGCCTTTTCACGAGGCATGGGAAGGGAAACATCTCTCAATATTTTGGAGATATGTCCTCGCTTGAATCTGGAGTTCCCACCATGAACCAGGTCTTCGAAAGCGCAGCGCTATCCACTGACCGCTGGTGGATGTGACCACCCTCTTGCCTGAGGTCAGAGCCACAAACTACTGGACACTTCACAGGAGGAAGAGAGCAACCCGCCAGGACATTTCTCTCGCGCAGTTGAGAGCCAGAGTGAATGACAATGTAAGCGCTTTCTGTGTGCAAAACCATCTGTGAACACATGTGTTATGTGAAAGAGTAAATCAGGAGAAAACAGAGATATATGGAACTCCAGGAAATGGTAAAAGAATAAATTATACGTTGAGGAAGAATTAAAGAAGGAATACAGCAGACAAAATGGCCAATCAATAGGTTGAAATGGTTCGTGGGTACCATATGGAATTCATGGGTAGTGCTAACGGTTAACACACTCCCTTGCCACTAACCCATTCACAGTCACCACAGAATAAAGTTTTGGTGATTTTCTTCCAAAACACAGCCATCTGAAAACCATATGGAACACAATTCCATTGTGACACAAGAGTAAGCGTTGAGTTGACAGCCGCTGGTTTTGGGGAGGAATGGTAGGCTCTATGTTTACCTTTTCTTTGTATTGATCCTCAGTCCATGCGCAATCAAGACATGGTAGATGTTTTGGGGTGATGTCAAGACGCATTCTTACAGGACAGAGAACATGAGGAATAGGGGCTTTAAGAGCACAAGAAAGGAATGATTGAAATAAGGGAACATGCAATGCTAGGTGAGTAGGGAGAGGTTTGCTGTGGTGGAGTTGTTGTTAGCTGTCATCAAGTCTGTTCCAACTCATAACAATCCTATGCACAACAGAATGAAACAACCTTATAGGGGAGAGATGGGAAGAGAGAAATGTATCCTGGGTGAAATAAATGTATAACACTCAATTATTTGCCAAAAGGGTAGTGGTTCAAATCTACCCAGAGACACCTCAGGAGAAAAGCCTGGTGATCCACTTCTGAAACCCCTATGGAAGAGCTCTACTCGGCAAAACATGCCAATAACAAAGCAGGAGGACGTGAGAAGGAGTAGTTACTATACTAGAGGAATCTATTTTCTTAAGGATGGATTGTGGTATTGGAGGATTTTGTACAAAAAAACTGGAAGTGTGGAGGGCTTTTGTTGTTGTTGTTTTTTTACCAGAAAATAGTCTTTCTAAGTTACTGGTTTATGAGCCAAAGAACTTGGCGTTAAGGTAGTATCCAGGTGTGGACATGAGCATCTAAGGATGGAGTGGTACCTGAGGCAGCACTCTATGGTTGCACAGGGCTGTGTGAGTAGATTCCTGCCCACAGTGACCCCATGTACAGGGAAGAACTGCACTGACCCGTAGGGTTTCCTAGGCTGTAATGTTTATTGGAGGAGATTTCCAGGTCTTCTCTCCTATGGACTCATTGGGTGGGTTAGAATTACCAACCTTTTGGTTAGTAGGTGAGTGCTTAATCATTGTGCCACCACGGCTTTGTATGACTCAGTGCCACATCAGAACGATATAATTATATAATGATCGTGTGATCTAATGCCGAGTGTTAAAAAATGGAGGCACAAAATCATGTCAATTCTTGGGACACAAGACATCTGTGATCCCCACGTCTAAATGATGTTTTAGGAGTGGTGGGAAGGAAATCTCGCTGCAGAGGGTCACATAGCTGAAAAGAGGGTGGAATGTGTGAGAGCAGTATGAGTGTTAATAGGGTAACTCATGCTGTCCCCCACCACCATAGTCCCCACCCCAATACCCATGAACTTCCTCTCATACCAAACCATGCAGAGTCAGTCAGAGCTGTGGCATGGAGGATCGTGGGAGTTCAGAAGAGTGTTCCATGGTGCTTGCCAGAGCGAGACGCTCCCATGCCACATCCATTAAGGCCTCTGCTCAGTGAACATCAGGTCTTCATGATGGGTTAAGGTGACAAATGTACCTTGTGTCTCCTGACAACAGGCTCTGGATTAACCTTTGGGCCCTGTCACTACAGCTTCAGTGTGAACTGGCCTCACCCAAGTCTAGGGTTGATGCCGTCCAGGTCTAAAGAACCCAAGCCATGTTAGTTTCCTTGAGTTGATTTGACTCACAGCAACCCATTTTGTTAGAGTAGAATTGTGTTCCACTGGATTACCAAGGGCTAATTTTTAAGAAGTCTGTTGCCGACCTTTTCTTTCAAGGCAACACTAGATGGACTACAACCTTCAGTCTTTTCAGCTAGCCACCTACAAAACTTTTGGTGAAACCCACCAACCAAACCCATGGACATCGAGTTGCTTCTGACTCATAGCTACATAGTTTTCCCAAGATTAGAAATCTATGGGAGCAGACAGCCTCTCCTTTCTCAACGCCTAGCCCATAGAGCCACTAGGCGCTCGTCAAATTGAATAAAGATCATAGTTTATTGAAAAGACCTCAACCTTCAATCTTTCAGTTAGCAGTGCAGAATTTATTTAACCTTTTGTGCCACCCAGGCATTCCTAAAATTAAATAAGTACCACAACTGTGTAAAATTTGAAGGGTATAATGATAACTGAAAGGCACTCTGGTAGCATAGTGGTTACGACTCGGGCTGCGAGCCGCAAGTTCAGCAGTTCGAAACTACCAGCTGCTTTGTGGAAGAAAGATGAGGCTTTCTGCTTCTGTAAAGATTTACAGCCTCAGAAACCCTGTATAGGGTCGCTATGAGTCGGAACCGACTCCATGGCACATGACAACAACAACAATGATAACTGAAAAATAAGATCTCTGTCATCTTATGGAACCCCATTTCGCCCCCACAGAACAACCTAGTCTTCTCACTGTGTATTTCTCAAAATGGTTTAATAAAGAACCTTTTGGGTATAATACAGAGCATCATTGTTCAGAACAAGAAGTCAGGGTTGACATTCCAGAGAGATGGTACTAGACCTCAGGCTTGTTTCTTGGAGACTGCTCAAGGGCCATAGCACTCAGATTCTTCAGCACTTCCTTTTCCTATTTGTCATCTAGTTTTCATGATGTCCTTCTTGAAGCCTAAATCTCTCTGCCTTCTTGGCTAGCATGTCGGCCTGCAAGGCCTCAGCCAGGTTCTCTCTTGCTTTCATCAGATTTTGAGTTTGTCTTCCTATTTCTCCATAAGTTATCTGCTGTTCCTGGAAGTGAGAGGAGAGATGAAGGCCCACCCCTGGGATGATCTCTGCCACATTTGAAGACTGGCCAGGGATGAGTTGAGAGTGGCTGCATGGATCTCCATCACCAATATGACGCAGAACTTTCCCAGGACCACATGGTACAACTGTTTTCAATGTATTTGTGAAATCCAGAGTATTTAGTAGCTCTCCTGTGCTGCTGCAGGCCTGGAGACCCTGAAGCCTCCTGTAGGCAGATACCTGCTGGGGTTTCTCCAGCTTCTCTTCCCATTGACTGCACCTGACCTCATTGCTTGGGTGGGACATGACTCTAGTAACAGGGCTTGGGAATATACAGCTGGTCAGTCTTATAGGAAGAGCAGGGTCTGATCTACGCTTTGACTTGGCCTTGTATTTGCATTCTAGTCTCTTCTGTGGAGTCTGGGACATCATACTTCTTTTGAGAATCCCCTATAAAAATAAAATAAGATGTGAAATGTACACATGATGTAGAATTGCGGTTTCTTTATCCAATTGGCTCTTCCACAAGAACAATGAGTTTCAAATTCTATTAAGAGCATGGACTTGGTACGCTTCCTATACATGAAACATCCAGATTAGGTGCTTTCATGGAGATGGACATTAGGGGTTGTGGGGAGGGACAATGGGGAATCACTGTGAAGGACACTGAGTCGCTAAGGGAGATGAAACTCAATTGGGAATGGATAGTGATGATGGTCGCACAACATGGTGAGTGTCTTTAATTCACTGAATTGTACACTCACAAAAAGTGAAAAAGAAAAATGGGTTTTTGTATGTCATGGATTGAATTGTGTTTCATCAACTTGGGTATTGGGGGATTGTCCTCTACTTCATGATGAGTTATAAATCCTAGCCTCTATATATTGATACCACCACTTGTCTATCAGATTGTGGTACTGTGATGGCTTGCTGTTGCTGTGATTCTGGAAGCTATGCCACAGATATTTTAAATAACAGCAGGATCACCCACAGAGGACAGGTTTCAGCTGAGCTTCCAAACAAAGACAAAGAAGAAGGAGAGAAGGACTACTTCAGAATATTTAGTCACTGAAAACCTTATGAATAGCAGTAGAACACAGTCAGCACCATAATGCTGAATATTGAAACATGATGAGGAGCACCAGAATATTGTCAGATAGATGAGCTACTCAGGTTGGAAGGCACTCAAAATGCAACTGGGGAGGAGCTGCCTCATCAAAGTAGAGTTGACCGTGATGTCGCAAATGGAGTACCCCACAGAAGAGCTGCCTTCTAAAGGAGAGTTGACCGTGATGTCGCAAATAGAGTAAAACTTTCAGGACCTTCATTTGCTGGTGGAGCACAACTCAGAATGAAGAGGGACAGTGGTAAACATCCACTAAAAATCAGAATGAAGAATGAATCTAGGAAAATAAGGAATTATCAAAAATGAAATGGAATACATAAACATCAATATCCTAGGCATTAGTGAGCTGAAGTGGACTGGTATTGGCCATTTTGAATCTGACAATCACATGGTTTACCATGCTGGGAACAAGTTAAAGAGGAATGGCGTCGCATTCATCATCAAAAAGAACATCTCAAGATCTGTCTTGAAGTACAACACTGTCTGTGATAGGATAATTTCCATACAGCTATAAGGAAGACCAGTTAATACCACAATTATTCAAATGTATGCACCAACCAATAAAGCCAGTGACGATGAATTTGAAGAATTCTGCCAACTTGTTTACTCTGGAATTGATCAAACAAGCAAACAAGATATATTAATCATTACTGGTGATTGGAATGCAAAGATTGGAAACAAAGAGAAAGGAGCAGTTGGAAAATATGGCCTTGGTAATAGAAATGATGCTGGAGATGACATAATAGAATTTTGCAAGACTAATTACTTCTTCATTGTGAATACCTTTTTTGAACAACATAAAAGTCAAATATACACATGGACCTCACCAGATGGAAAGCACAGGAATCAAATTGACTACATCTGTGGAAAGAGATGGTAGAAAATCTCTATACCATCAGTCAAAACAAGACCAGGGCAGAGTGTGGAACCGACCATCAGTTGCTCACATGCAAGTTCAGGCTGATGCTGAAGAAAATGAAAATAAGTTCACAAGAGCCAAATATGATCTTAAACATATTCCACCTGATTTAAGAGATCATCTGATGAAGATATTTGATGCATTAGACAATAAAGACTGAAGACCAGAAGAGTTGTTTGAAGACATCAAGAATATCATACAGGAAGCAAAAGGTCATAAAGAAGACAAGAAAGAAGGAAAAGATGAAAATGAATATCAGAAGAGACTTCTGAAATTTGCTCTCCAGCTTAAAGATGCTAAAGCAAATGGAAGAAATGAAGAGGCACAAGAATTGAACGGAAAATTTCAAAGGTCAGCTCGAGAAGGCAAAGCCAAATATTAAAATGAAATGTGCAAAAAACCTGGAGTTAGAAAGCTAAAGGGGTAGGCCACGCTCAGCATTTCTAAAGCTGAGAGAACCGAAGAAAAAAATTTGAGCCTCAAGTTACAATACTGAAGGATTCTACTGGCAAAATACTGAATGTGTGAAAGGCCTCAAAAGAAGAGATGAAAAGAATACACAGAATCACTGCACCAAAAAGAAATGTTCGATGTTCAGACATTTCAAGAGGTAGCATATGATACTGAAGGAAGAGGTCCAAAGTGTGTTGAAGGCACTGGCAAAGAACAAGGCACCAGAAATTGATGGGCTACATATTGAAATATTTCAACAAAGTAAGGTGGCACTGGAGGCACTCACTCATCTCTGCCAAGAAATTTGGAAGACAACTACCTGGCCAACTGACTGAAAGAGATCTGTATTTGTGCCTATTCCAAAGAGAGATGACCCAACGGAATGTGGAAATCAGCAGACAATATCTTTGATATCCCAAGCAAGTAAAATTTTACTAAAGATAATACAAAAATGGCTACAGCCATACATTGATAGAGATCTTCCAGACGTTCAAGCCAGATTCAGAAGAGGATGTGAAACAAAGGATATTATTATTGATGTCTGATGGATCTTGGCTGAAAGCAGAGAATACCAGAAAGATGTTTACCTGTGCTTTATTGACTATGCAAAGGCTTTCGATTGTGTGGATCATGAAAAGTTATGGACAACATTGCAGAGAATGAGTATTCCGGAACATTAAATTGTGCTCATGAGGAACCTGTACATAGACCAAGAGGCAGCTGTTTGAACAGAACAAGGGAACATCTAATGACTTAAAATTAGGAAAGTTGTGTGTCAGGGTTGTATTCTTTCACAATGCTTATTCAACCTGTATGCTGAGCAAATAATCCTAGAAACTGGCTTATATGAAGAAGAATGTGGCATCAAGTTTGCAGGAAAACTCATAACAACCTGTTTGAGGCCTAAGATGCTTCTGATCTAAGGCATGGTATTTTCAATAACCTCATATACATGTGAAAATTGGGTAATGAATAAGGAAGACCATAGAAGAATTGATGCATTTGAGTTGTGGTGTTGAGTACCATGGACTGCCAAGAAAACATATCAATCTGGTATGTTTTGGAAGAAGTATAGCCAGCGTGCTCCTTGGAAGCTAGGATGGCCGGACATTGTTTCTCATACTGTGGACATACTATCAGGACAGGCCAGTCCCTGGAGAAAGATATCATGTTTGGTGAAGGGGAGGGTTGAAAGGAGACCTCTAATGAGATGAATTGGCATAGTGGCAGAAGCAATGGACTTGGGCATAACAACAGATGTGAGGTTGGCACAAGGCTGGGCAGTGTTTTGTTCTGCTGAGAATAGGGATGCTATGAGTCAGTACCGACTCGATGACACTTAATAACAATATGTTAATGACACTCTCTGTGAGTTTGTCCTACTTTGGTGGCTTGTTTTCTGCTGTGATGCTGGAAGCTATGCCACCGGTATTTTGAAGACCAGCAGGGTCACTCATGGTGGACAGGTTTTAGCTAACCTTCTAGACTGACAAAGACTAGGAAGAATTAAGAGGTTGGCCATTTCTAAATGGTTAGCTGCTGAAAACCCATATGAATGGCAGCAGAACACTGTCAGTGTGCTAAAAGATGAGCACTTCTGGTTGGAAGGCACTTAAAATATGCCTGGGGAAGAACTACCTTCTCATAGTAGACTTGACTTTAATGACGTGGATGGAGCCTAGCTTTCAGAACATTCCTTAGCTGATATAGCACAGCTCAAAATGAGAAGAAACAGCTGCAAATATCATGATTAATCAGAATGTGAAATGTATAAAGGGTTGTTGTTGTTAACTAGCTACTCTGTATAGCATTTTGGAGGATCGTTGTCCAAAATGAAATGGAATGCATAAAGATCAATATGGTAGGCATTGTTGTTGTTGTTGTAAGTGCCATCGAGTCGGATCCGACCCATAGCAACCCTATACAGGGTTTCCGAAGAGCGACTGGTGAGCTTGAACCACCGACCTTGCAGTTCAAATGGCTTTGCAGTCTGGTGCATTAACCCACAGCACCACCCCAGGACTCCATGGTAGGCATTAGTCACTGAAATGGACTGATATTGGCCATTTTTAATCCAGCCAAGTCTCAGATTCCTCCAGTCTCTTTCTGACCAGTAAACCTGTTTGTTTTTTTAAAAATTATTTTGACTTTATTCCTTGACCACCCTTCAGGTCTAGAAAGGAACTCACTTTCAACTTTGAGCCAAGCAGTTGATAGGTATACAGATAGCAGAATACTAGTAAGGTATGCTCACTGTGAATGATGAAAGGCCAATCTTTAAAAACCAAAGGGGCAACATGTACCTAAGGAAAAGGTGAGAAGAGATGGAAAGGTGGCTGGAATGGAAATAGGAACCACAGAAAGGAAGCAGGTTAACTGCTGTGCCTAGGGGGGGATTGCAGTCATTGGGATGGAACGAAGTGTATTGTTTGTTGAATGTAAGACTGATGATCTTGTCTGTAAACTTTCACTCAATTCACAATAAAAAGTAAAAGGAAAAAAGAGGTGAGGAGATTAAAGGAGAAGGTAACAGACATGACTATGACCAAGAAAGAAGACTCAGGTGCTGAGCTGAGTGCATCCTTTAGACACCGTTCCCTGTGCTGAGAACCTCCCTTACCCAGGGGAAAATTGATTCCACAACACAAGAATGTGATGAGTCGGAACCAAACTGACAGGATTTAACAACAACAACAACAACAATACAATAACTACAACCTGTAATTGGTGACTATCTTGAATTGCAAATCCTTTCCCCTGGAATGCAACTTCAAGGTTAGTCAAAATAATCCATTTAACATTTAATCAGCTCTCCTTTGAA